GAAACCTCCACCTGGTTTGTTCTCATCGCCTACATCAGATGTATGCAAGTTGAAACGGTCTTTGTATGGATTAAAACAAGCTCCAAGAGCTTGGTTCGATAAGTTCCGGTCTACTTTGTTACAATTTTCTTTTGAGCAGAGCAAATATGATTCATATTTGTTTCTTCGGAAAACATCTACAGGTTGTGTTCTTCTTTTGGTGTATGTAGATGACATTATTATCACAGGATCTGATTCTTCACTAATCACTAGCCTACAACAACTGCTTAAAGATTCTTTTCATATGAAAGATCTTGATACTCTTACTTATTTTTTGGGTTTGGAAGTTCATAATGTTGCTTCAGGTGTGTTTCTAAACCAACACAAATATACTCAAGATCTGATTTCTTTGGCTGGTCTTCATGATTCCTCCTCCGTAGATACTCCATTGGAATTGAATGTGAAGTATCCTTGTGAGGAAGGCGATCTTCTTCCTGATCCAACTATATTTCGACAATTAGTTGGGAGTCTAAATTACCTTACTATTACTCGGCATGATATCTCTTTTGCAGTTCAAGAAGTTAGTCAATTTATGCAAGCTCCCCATCATCTCCACTTGGTAGTTGTTCGTCGCATCATTCGGTATCTTCTAGGAACATCTACTCGTGGATTGTTCTTTCCAAGTGGTTCTCCTATTCGTCTTAATGCTTTTAGTGATTTTGATTGGGCGGGATGTCCTGATACTCGTCGTTCAATATCTGGTTGGTGCATGTTTCTTGGAGATTCATTGATATCTTGGAAGAGTAAAAAGCAAGATCGTGTGTCAAAATCTTCAACAGAGGCTGAATATCGATCCATGTCTATTGCTTGCTCCGAGGTTGTATGGCTTCGTGGATTACTTGCTGAGATTGAATTTCCTCAATCTCATCCTACTCCTCTCCAGCTGACAATACAAGTGATATTCAGATTGCTACTAATCCAGTTTTTCATGAGAGGACCAAACACATAGAAGTGGATTGTCATTTTATCCGAGAAGCTGTAGATAAAGGAGTCATTACTCTTCCACATGTGTCCAGTGATCTTCAAATAGCTGATGCGTTTACAAAATCCATGGCCCGACAACGCCATCAATTTCTAGTAGGCAAATTGATGCTTCATGATCCACCAACATCAATTTGAGGGGGGATGTTAGCATGATGGAAAACTAAATGATTGTATATATTAATGTAATTATATAGTGATATAAATTAGCATGATCATAAACATTTGTCGTAGAATCAAAGGAATAAATATTGTGATAGAATAGCTGATTTGGAGGGATAGCAAAGCAGATTTTGAGGAATTGAATTGCAAATTTGTAGAGATAGAATAGCTGATCTTTAGGGATAGAATGACGGATCTTTAGGGATGTGTAATCTTTATTTTCTCTATATAATGGAAAGACTCTCACTTTGAGAGGCATTCAACAGAAAATTGACACTAATACCTGTGTGATTGTTTCCCAGCTAGTTGGTCATTTTGTTAAAGTAAACTGCATAAATCCCACATTTATTATCAACCATTCTGAGATCATGAGCCCACTGGCTAAATCACACAGATCAGAACCTGGTTTGACTGAGCATTTCAACTTATTTGTTAACAGAAGAGAGGTAATATAATATTGTATTTTTCGACGTTGATCCTATAGTACTATTTCACCTTACCGTATAATCAGCTCATTCTTTTTCATTTTTCTCCAGCTATGTGATACCTAGGGGTTGAATAATATTAAAATTCTTTAATACTACATATTGTCAATAACACATATTCAGTATAAACCCACAAGTGAGATTTGAGAAAGGCAGAGTGTACGTAGATCTTACCCCTAACTCATAGAGATAGAAGAAATTCTTTAATGCTACATATTGTCAACAACACATATTCAGTATAAACCCACAAGTGAGATTTGAGAAGGGTAGAGTGTACGTAGATCTTACCCCTATCTCGTAGAGATAGAAGAGTTATTTACGGTAAACCTTCAGCCTAAATAAAGTCGGTCAAACAGTTTGGAGAAGGGGATACAAACATGTGAACAATAACAATAACAATAACAAATTAATGCGAAAGAGAGAGTGTTATGCAACAAACAAGAGAAAGAACAATAACAAAACGAGCTATTGCAATAATTAGAGCTCAAAAAACCATGTCGAACGAGATCGAAGAACAAGAAACTATATAAGAATAGTGCTAATACTACTTGTAAGAAGGAAGGCCCTAGTATGACCACCAAGCCTATCCAGCATGGAACGAGAGAACGCTTGACTACCAACTAACCTTCTACACCCTAATTTACGACTTCCAAACTCTCCTATCTAAGGTTATGTCCTTGGACCTTGGTAAGATCATGACATGTCATGTCCTGCCTAATCACTTTTTCCCAATACTTCTTTAGCCCACCTTTACCTCTTGTGACGCCCGCCACTGCCAACTACTCACACCTCTCTAGGACATCTACACTCCTATTCTTCACATGCCCAAACTACCACAGTCTCGTCCCAATCATCTTGTCCAATACAAAGACCACTCGTACCGTTTCTCGAATATCTACTTTCTTAATCTAGTCTCTCCTAGTATGGTCATACATACACCACAACATTTTCATCTCTGTGATTTTCATCTTCTGAACTGAGAATTCATAACAGGTTAATACTCTGGTTTTTGTTCCATAAAAAAAAATCGTTCTAACCACCCTCCTATAGAACTTATCTTTTATAATTTTTGGCGGTACCTTCTTATCACACAAGACCCTGGAGGTGAGCCTCCATTTCGTTCATTCTACGCCACTACAATGTATGATATCATCGTCGTTCTCTTTGTTACCTTAAATTAAAGACCCCAAGTATTTAGTCTTGGTGCTCACCTGGACCCATTTAGTAGTTGAAGGTGCCTGAATTTAGCAACAACAAATTAAAAAGTAAAAGAGCCTTGGTAGGGCCATTAATGGGTATTACTATATTAATATTGTGTTGGAAAAGTGGTATATCATGCTAAGAAAAATGGAAATTAATTTCTTGTCAACCAAGGAGAATGGATATGAGTAAATTACTTTGTGATGAAAAAGTATTACTATTAAACTATCAATATTATATAATAAGAAGAATGACAATGACATATTTCTTGTCCATCACTCCATTGTTTAGTAATCCTAAGTCATTAAACCTTATTTATTGGCAAATTTCTACTAAAAGATTATCAACTTGTTTAATCCTGGATTAAGTACTTACATAATCAACCCTCTACTAATTTCATCAAATTGCTAAGTCTAACTATAGTCACTAATGGATTCATCTGTTTCAACAGAGCCACTTAGCAAGAAGTATGGTGATTTAGCCTCTTTTTTTTTTTTGTCTTTTACTTCAGTTTCTTTTTTGCAATTGTAAAAGTTAATCTATGTGCTCTGAATATGACAATAACTTTTGTATATTTAGTTTACAATTTGTTAATTTTTTTGGACTTAGATATTTTGAATGAAATGTTACCAAACAATATATGTTGCTCTTATGTTTTGATTTCCTTTGGTGAAAAAGTGCTCTTAAGAGAGAAAAGAAGGCAAAGGAGAAGGAGCACCTTGAACAGGAAAAGAAGGTAAATCTTCTGTTCTGTGTATTTTGTTTATGTTCTGTTATCAGTGATGCTTGACTATCTCTCAGGGATTTACCCCGTCTTTGCGTTGCAAGTGAAAGTGTACATTTTTATGTCTTCATGCTGATGAGTTTTGTCCCGATTGGATGTACAGGCAGCACCAGTAGCTAAAAGGCAAATGGAGCAACACAATTTACCTGAGAATGATAATTTGGATCCTACTGTAAGTACCTCTACCATTTCGTTGAACTTCAGTTCGAACTTATCCCTCGATGAGCATGAGATTTCACGGTGTGATAAATGGTTAAAAATTGATTTCTTTGTGGCAGCAATACCTGGCGAACAGATTGAGGAACGTTGAGTCGTTGAGAGAATCTGGAATCAATCCATATCCACATAAGTTCTTCATTACAATGTCTATTCCTGAATTTATCAGCAGATATGCTCATCTAAATACTGGAGAATTTCCTGAAGACATTGATATCTCCTTAGCAGGTGCTCAGGTTATGATTTCCGTTAAAAGTTGATTAGAGTTTGAAATTTCAATAGTTTTTATTCGTGTTCGTGTAGGGAGAGTGATAAGCAAGCGTGCATCATCGTCAAAACTCTATTTCTATGAAATGCTTGGTGGTGGGGTGAGAGTACAAGTACTGGCTAGTGCAAGGTATATTGAGTTGCTTGGGCTCAACGAGTGATGAGATGAAGACATTCTATAAAATACTTGCTATTTCTTCAATTTAAGTTGTGTTATCACTAACGAAAAATGGCGTAGGGAACACATTTGATCCAACAGCATCTCATTTATATATGTTGAGTAGGGATTCTGATGTGGATGCTGTTCAGTTTTCTAACTATCACTCTGGAGTGAAGCGAGGTGACATAATTGGTGTCCGCGGATATCCTGGTTAGTCCTTTAAAATCCAATTATAGAAAGAAAACTAAGATTTTTGAGGCACTAAAGTGTCATTCTGCTGCAGGAAAGAGTAAGAGAGGAGAGCTAAGTATCTTTGCAAAATCCTTTATAGCTCTAGCCCCTTGCCTACACATGTTACCGAGGCGGCTGACCTCCTCTGTCGTAGATGAAACTCGGACACAGGTGAAACACCCACAACTATAAGGAAACCTATCTTATGTCTGTTTAGAAACTTTACATCAATGATTCTTAATACATGACTCAAAGGAGTTGCTTGTTTACAGAGTTTCCAAGGAACAACAGCTAATGATACTTGGACTCCAGGAGATCCGAGAAACCCCGAGTCATATGTGTTAAGGGATCAGGTATGATCATATCAAGAATTTGGCTTTTCAAATGTTAAATGGAAGCCCCTTCGCCATCCCACTTACAGACCAAGAATGGATAAAAAAGGGTAGCCCGGTGCACAAAGCATCCCATGTTAGCACGGTCCAGGGAAGGGACGCATCCCAAGGGCTGTGATGTACACAACCTACCCTATCACAAGCATTAGTGTTTGCATCCACAGCTCGAGCCTGTGACCTATAGGTCACACGAAGACAAAGAAGGGAGATAATTAGGAGTGGAAAAAAGGAGAATTTCTCAATTGTATTGGAGTACCATACTAGGTTAATCTGGTGTCCAGCATCTAATTACAGTATTCTAATTGTGTTACATTGTGAATTTCAGGAAACTCGGTATCGTCAAAGGTACTTAGATCTAATGATGAATCCAGATATTCGAACTTTATTCAGGACTCGTGCCAGAATCATTTCTTACGTTAGGAATTTCCTCAATAGTCTTGAGTTTCTGGAGGTTTAATTCTACAAATAGCTCTTCCAATGCTGACTTATTCTTCTGATTAATGTGTTCTTTTCTCACTCAGCTTTCTATTTGTTTTAGGTGGAGACTCCTTCTATGAATTTGACAGCTGGAGGAGCTGCAGCCAGACCATTTGTCACTCACCATAACGAGTTGGACACAAAACTATTCATGCGTGTTTCCCCCGAGCTTTATCTTAAGAAGTTGGTTGTTGGTGGATTTGATCGTGTTTATGAGATGGGGAAGCAATTCAGGAATGAAGGAATGGATTTAACTCACTCTCCTGAGTTCACAATGTGTGAACTTTATATGGCTTACGCTGATTACAACGACTTGATGGATTTGACAGAGCAGCTACTATCAGGTAAGCATCACAAATAGTTATCTAGATTGCTTTTCGTCTTCAATCCGTTGATATAATGGATTTGATTTTTGCATATTGCTCTTAGGTATGGTGAAGGAACTAACCGGAAGCTATAAAATAAGGTACCATGCTAATGGATTGGATAATGAACCGATAGAAATTGATTTCACTCCTCCATTCAGGTATATTGAATATGTGACTAATGGTGTAAAACTTCACCTTCCAGACTAGCATTTACTTAAATGTTTGGAGTTTCTCTTGTTTGTTAATTGCAGAAAGATTGATATGTTGTCGGAGTTGGAGAAAGTCGCTAACATCAGTATACCTAGTGATCTATCGAGTGAAACTGCTAATAAGTACTTGATAGATGTATGTGAAAAGTTTGATGTCAAATGCCCTCCACCTCATACCACAACACGATTACTCGATAAGGTCCCTTCCTAGTTCCTACCTTGCCAAAGCATACTGTTGTCTTTACTATATCTTGTAGATGTACTAATACCTGTGTGATTGTTTCCCAGCTAGTTGGTCATTTTATTGAAGTAAACTGCATAAATCCCACTTTTATTATCAACCATCCTGAGATCATGAGCCCACTGGCTAAATCACACAGATCAGAACCTGGTTTGACTGAGCGTTTCAACTTATTTGTTAACAGAAGAGAGGTAATATTGTATTTTTCGACGTTGATCCTATAGTACTATTTCACCTTACCCTATAATCAGCTCATTCTGTTTCATTTTTCTCCAGCTATGTGATGCCTATACTGAACTAAATGATCCTGCAGCACAGAGAGAACGTTTCGCTGAACAATTAAAGGTATATATCTTTGTTACATTACCAATTAAGAGACTCATATGAGGTTCATTTTCCTGCTTAACTAACATTGCTGTTTCATCATATCAGGACCGACAATTAGGAGACGACGAGGCAATGGATTTGGATGAATCCTTCATTACTGCATTGGAGTATGGATTGCCCCCTACTGGTGGACT